ATTATCTCAACAGATTTCACAAAACCGTAATAGGTTAGCTGAAAGCAACAATATTAAGTTCAAATAAATGAAAAACTGTTAACATCATACACTTTATTAAAGTCAACGGTTCACTTTTTTTTCAGTGCAACATGTCTGTCTTCTGAAAGGATCCCCCTCAGTTCCTCTCCCAGAGGGGTCTTTTATTTCCCCTTTAATTGGGTTTTTTACGAGGGGAGGTTTAAGACAGAGAGAGTTTTATGCTGTACAGATTGTAAAGCCCCCTGATGCAAATGTGTGATGTATATAATATTTGATTAATGATGAATTAATTTACACACAGGAGTCATCCACAAGTCAATCACAACAGATGGCTGTATGAGTGTGTACATTATCCATCAACATTTGTGTATGGGGGGACAGCTAGTCTAAAAGAGTCTTCTCTTTTAGACTGCTGTGTGATTTCTAATCATTTTCTTTAGTTAAGTGATATACCAGTTACAGGACAAGTGCAGATAAATACAGTGCCATGAATACACACACAAGAGTAATATCTCAAAGTAAAGACAAAAAACCAAGGACATAATACCAGAACAAACTGAGTAATACAACATGTTTTCAGACATGTGTGTGTGTGCGCGTGCATGCGGGTGTTTGTGTGAGATTGAGAGAAGAACAAAAATAATAATACAAATAATATAATATGAGTAACAATATAATTGTCATTCATTCTAAATAAACATGTCAAATACATTTTGGTAAAAAATAAATAAATAAAAAGACTGCTGTCTGATTTCCACACGGCTCTTCTTTATGGAAATGCACAATGTTATCACATGGCTTAGTTGAATACTTCATTCTGATTGGTCAATTTGGATATTCCAGAGGTCTGTTATAGACTGTCTGGTCGGTTAAAGGGGACCTATCATGCAAAATGCACTTTTGTACGTCTTTTATACATGAATATGTGTTCCAGGGAACTCACCAAGTGTCAGAAAATACAACCCTCTCTATTTTCCTCCATACCCAAATCTCTAAAAAAGGGGCTGCAACGGATCTGATCAAAACTGATCCAGATTTGAACACTGTCCTGACGTCAGGACGGTGGCGCTACGGCTATTGGGCCAACTCTCCACCTATCAGGGGAATGTGGGGTTGGGCCACGGCCATTGCCGCTCGAAAACGCTGGGGACGCTGTAGTACATATGCCAGGCCTGTAAGTGGCGCTGTAGTCTGCCACAAAAGCAGCGAAGAAGACTTCCCGCCCATAGTTACCATGGTTACCCTTCTGTTTATTCTCCGCTGTGGCTTTTTTTCTCCCTCCCCGAGGCAAGCGTTTGCTCCCGCTGCTTTAATTCAATGCAATCCCTCCCCGTCGAGGCAAGCACTGTAATTCTCTCCGGTTAGTCCACCAGCAGATGACAAACACCCACCTCTCCGCCTCTTCCAAGGAACGAGGGGACCGTGCGGCAGAGTTTCAGTTTCAGTTTCTTTCGCCGGTCAAGATGTCCGTTAAAGTTTAAATCTTCCGGACAAAATTAGAAAAGTGATTAATTATTATTATTAGCTTACACAGTTAAGCTCACACACACTATACTGTAGGTTCACCTGCTGAATTAAAAACAGAACAAATTAACCAATGTGCCTATCACTCCCAAGAAAGAAAACTAAAATAACTCCTCCCCAGGCCTGACTCATCATTATAAAACTCTGCAGTCAGACGCAGTTTGAGGGCTGCTGCTGTAGAGCGGGCGGAGGAGGTTGTAGAGCTCACAACAGCCAGGAAACAAAAGATAGGAATAAATCAATCAATCAAAAATTGCAACTCAAATCCCTTTTACAAGTCAGCATTCACTAGGGATGGGTATCGTTAAGGTTTTAATGGTACTACTACTTTTATCGATACCGCTTATCAATCCGGTCTTTTAACGGTACTCTTATCGGTTATTTTGGAGAAAAAAATAAGATAAATTAACTAAACAAATTGTGAAAAAAATTAACATTGCTTTTTATTTAAATTAAATAGATAATATTTCACATCAAAAGAAACAACAATGTTTTAACAAATGGTATTAAATAATCTGATAACAGAACTGTAAACAGAATAACTGAAACTTTAACTAAATAAATAACTCAGTTACCTCTAATCATTAACCCATGTTTGTATAATTGAGTTAGCTCCGTGTGTTGCTGCTAGCATACATAATACCTGACGTGGAAACGTTACTCGTGGATGGGGCTACAGAGCTACTAGAAAGACAGTCGAACCCGGTGCATTTCTCCGTCTGAATGTGGTGCACTTTTACTAAATGTTTAGACAAATTGCTCGTGTTACCGCCCTTACATGCTAAACTCTTATTGCACTTTTGGCAACGAGCATTGTCCACATCGAGACGGGTAAAGTTTAGCGTTCTCTCCGCCATCTCCTCTCTGTGTGTGTGTGTGTGTGTGTGTGTTGCTGCATGTAGCAGCTGCGTGTGTGTAAACTGCCCCGCCCCCTCGCACACAGACAGGGGAGAGAGATCTCTCAGCTGGATTGGAAAGATCGAAAATACTAAAAATAATCATAGACGCATTTTGCATATTAGAAACAGAGTTGGCGACACTAAAACTGCAATATAATGTTTGTGTAGCAATAATACATATGACATATATTTTAGATGTCTCCAGTACCGATAAAAAGACCGATAACGTTGGAGCTTAACGGTACCACGGTCTTTAATAATTCAGCCCTGGGGCCCGTTTAATACCGGGGCTCGGTACCCATCCCTAGCATTCACACACATTCATACAGAGGCTGCCATACACCTTCTCAGGACAATAACACACTCACACACTGTTTCCATCGGGGAACTTGGGGTTAAGTATCTTGCCCAAGGACACATGGACAGGTTGAATGCAGGGGCTGGGGATCAAACGACGACTGTATGTGTCACAAACGAGCTCAGAACCAAAATGCAACACACGGGAAACCAGGGATAGTCGGTAACCAGCTTTATTATAGGCAAAGGGCTGGTCGGGGACAAACCGGCAGACAGTAGGCAAAGGGCTGGTCGGGGACAGGCGAGGGTTCCAGGAGTAAGCAAGACGGGAGACGCAGGTACAGGCAGGGTCAGGGAGCAGACAAGGCAGAATAATCCAGGGACAGGCAGGGTCAGGAAACAGGCGAGGCAGGCTGGTCAGGGGCAGACAAGGTCGAAACCGGGAGAGCAATCTGGAAGGTAATGCGGGAAAGACTGGCATGCTGCAAAGTACGATCTGGCACTGAGGTGAGAGTGAAGTGGGCCTATATACTAATGGAGCTGATGGGTGTAACAGAGTGAGAGAGAGAAACAGGGTGTGACTACCAGGTGACTAAGGAATGCTAATGCAGAAAATAGGTGAGTGAGGGAGCAGACTGTGACAGAACCCCCCCCCCGCCCCTTAAATGGACGGCTCCTGACGTCTAAGAAAAATGACAACTAACCCCAAAACTGAAACAAAAAATGGTGGTCTCTCGGCCTCCCTCTCCTGGAAATCCTCGTCCTCCTCGACCGATGACGCCTCACCCTCCTCCTCAACAAAGCCCCCGGTCTGTAGCGGACGAGTACCCCCTGGCTTAATGCCTGGTTGGGCGTGGGTCCTAGAAGGCTGCTCCGGGTATCGCAGGTGGAAGTCTCGGATGAGTTGTGGGTTTAGGATGTGACGAGCAGGAATCCACTGCCTCTCCTCAGGACCATAGCCCTCCCAGTCCACCAAATATTGTACCCCTCTTCCTCTGCGACGGGAACAGAGCAGGCGACGAAGGGTGTAAGTCGGGCCCCCATCGATCATCCTAGGGGGTGGTGGTGGAGGGGCGGCGGGGATCAATGGACTCTCCCGGACAGGTTTAATCCTAGAGACGGTGGGATGGATCTTCATGTTCCGGGGCAAACTCAGTCGGACCGCTGCAGGGTTAATAACCTTAACAATCTCGAAGGGTCCAATAAACCTGGGTGCTAACTTCTTAGACTCCACCCGAAGGGGAATGTTCTGAGTGGAAAGCCACACCTTCTGGCCTACCTGGTACACAGGTGCCTTGGTGCGTCAGCGGTTCGCTGATGTGGCGTACCGGTTAGCAGACTGAAGTAGGGTTGTTCGGGTATGCCTCCAAGTCCTCCGACAACGTCTGATGAAAGCCTGGACAGACGGACAGGTAACCTCCTTCTCTAATGCAGAGAACAATGGGGGTTGAAAACCGTAGGCACACTGGAAAGGGGAAAGACCAGTG